GTGTTCGGTGTATGAGGTGTGTGTGTGTGTGTTCGGTGTATGAGTCGCGGCTGACGCATCACAGCTGGCCCCGTGTGTCTCGGCTGTGAACGGGTGTTTGCAGAGCAGCGGGCCGTGTGCAGAGCGCGGTGGGCGGGGCGGAAGGAGTCGGCTGTGAGCGTGCCGTGCGCAAACCGCGTGTGGCGCAGCGCAGAGAGGAGGAACCGAAAATAAACAGCAACGAGTCACGTCGCCGAGGTGAGTTCCCTTAAAGGACGAAAATACGACATTTAACTCGACGCATACGGTGTGGTGACACCGTCACGCTCTCGGAGAGAGTCTCCGCTGTCTTGAAATTCCAGAGCTGTGTTTTTAAGGCGAATCGTTGAGGTCGAACGCGTCCAGAAAGGTCCAGAAGTGAGATTTTCTGACGGCGCACTTCGGCCTACTGCGACAGGCTGCGAGCGGGAAAGTCGTGCCATTGCAGCGAGTGCTCGCAGTGTTGCGATGATGATGTTTGTAATTAGCGAGTGCGATGTAATGTCGTCGCGGGACTGGATGGTCTCCCTCGGACAGGCCAGAGATCAGCCCTGAAGACTGCTGCTGATCTTCATCAGGCTTTCACATCATCGTGTTTTGCTCTCTGCGTGTAAGTGCCGATACTGTAGCGATGAGCTGTGCTGTGTGTTCATATCTGCGCTTACACAGCCTACCTAGGCAGCGGGTTTCTCCTCGGTAGGCGCCTTCTGACTCTCGAGTCGCGCGGTTTTCTGGCATCGTTCCCAACTTTCCCCTGGAACAGCATTGGGGCTCCGATTTTAACCGTTCGCACCAAAGGTTGGCAGGTTTTGGCATGTTTAAGTAGTTTATGCATAAATGCACCACGTGTGCTGTGGCCATTGGCAGTTGTAGCGAAGTCCAGCGGGTGAACGATTATTTTTTTAAAGTCGAATCTTGAATCTTTTGAATCGAGCGGATCTCGAGTCAAGAACTCCTCGAACAGAGAAAAGTTACTCAGTAAAATATGTTTAGGACTTTTGTCAGCGTACCTGTACCATGAAACGAGTTATTTTGGAAATGGCATTTTATTGAAAACCTATAAAAACTTTATTTTTTTAAAAATGTAAATTCATTTAAAGTTAATGCAAATTATATTGGTTTATGAACTGGTTTACAACTGTTTCAGTAAAATTTGCTCATCTAGTACTGTTTCCCCTAATGACTTTACTTGCAAGTCTAATGAATGTTTTTATGTATATTTTCATGAGCTTCTAGGTTTGTGTTCATTGAATATCTGACCTTCCTCTGGTGTCCAGACTGCAGCTGGAGCACGTGTTTCTCATCTGTGTGTCACGTTCAGAACTTCACTCAAACCGTATACCTGTTTATTTCCATTAAGTTTAATCTTTAATCAGTTGTAGGGTGCAGTCAGAGGCTATGAGCAGCAACGAGTGTTTTGGTTGCGGCCGCACCGGCCACTGGATCAAGAACTGCCCGAATGCTGGCCGTGGCCGGGGAAAGGGCCGTGGCAGAGGGAAAGGTGAGAGCCGCTCACTGTTGTGAACGGATCTGAACACTGATATTTGCTGAGCTGATTTAGTAAATAATGTGTTTCTCCTGCCCTACGCTAGATCTTTTCTGCTATCGCTGTGGAGAACCAGGCCACGTTGCGAGGGACTGTGAGAGGACCGAGGATGGTAAGGGCGTGAAATGTTAAAAAATGGGCTCTTGTTCATTGTTAAATGTCTGTAACATGTTTTGAATGTAGACATTTTGCATATCAGTGAGTCTGTCAGACACTCGTTGTTTTTTTGTACACTGGGAAAAAAAAATGGTATAGAAAAAATTCATTCAGCTAGTAAATTTCACAAATAATTGCAATTGACACGTTGAATTAAACACTGTTTGGTTCATTTTAAATGGTTCAGTGGTGTTAACGATGTACTTTTTTGACATGTACACTACAATAAAAAAATTGGTGTATGAACTATTTTTGGTCAGAAATTGCTAGTAAATTTCACAAATTACAAAGAAATGGCTAGGAACACATGGAATTAAACATGACATTTTGAAGCCGAAAGACTGAAAGTGTGTGTGTGTGTGTGTGTGTTTTTTTTTAATGTAACTCCAATAATCTCTTGTTTTATTTACAACTTAAGATTTTTAAAGCTTGAATGCTGACAAGTTTGAATATGTAAGCCTTTGTGCAGTATTCATGTCCATTCAGCATTGGGTTAGTTGACATGGTGCATCTTTTTTTCCTCATGCTGTAAAAACACTAAACTTTTTTTTTTTTTTTTCCCCAAAGTAAATAAAACGATTTATTTGGGTGTTTTACCAGAAAATACTATTTTATGTCTTTCCACTTCCAAATTTCACATTTAATTCAAGGCAGCGGCTATTTACACTAAGTGCAAATAGCTATAGATTCTATTTACACTGTTATAATAGCAGGATTTTCTGCTATTTATAATACTTATTGCAAATAGTGGCAATTACCTGCGCCTCAGTATTGTAGTACATTATAAAACAGCACGCAGTAATAACGTATTGAATGTAAATTATAATTTTAATTCAAATGATTAAATGGATGCCACCTTATTGGGACAATAAAGCCCTCCCTAACTCTACCCGATACTTTCTTTTCAACTTTTTGATTATTTCCTTCATTTTCATTGAAAATAAATGCCTTTCCGATGCGATATGAGATTTGAAAAGGGAGAAAAAAAGTTCGGCAGAAGGCGGGTTTGAACTCGGGTCGATCGCGTTACCATCTACGCCACTGAAGCTGATGTTTAACAAGAGTCTTGGTTCAGTGTTGACTGGACCAATCACACGTTGGTGGGCGGAGTTAGTGTAAATGGCCTCTGCCAACAAGGCGGGCTATTTGCACTTAGTGTAAACAGACACTCCGTTAATTCAATGTTACTTGTTGTTTCTTTGTCTGCATTTAAATCTAGACTCAAAACTCGTCTGTTTAGCTGTGCATTTATTGAATGAGCACTGTGCTACGTCCGAACTGATTGCACTGTATTTTATGTATAATCGTTTTCTATTTTTAACTGTTTTAAATGAATTTGAAATCAATTTCTGAATCATTTAAAAAGTTAAGTTGCCTGTTTTATTGTTGATTTTTTTGACTATTTTACTTCCTTTTATGTAAAGCACGTAGAATTACCATTTGTGTATGCAATGTGCTATATAAATAAACTTGCCTTGCCTTTGTAATTGGAATATCTGAATTAGAATTTACTACAATTTTTTTTTTTTTTTTTTTTTTTTGCAGTGTACATGTAAAAAATTTTTTTTTTTTCACACTGCCAAACCATTTAAAATGAACCAATAAAGTGTTTGAAGAATGTGAGAAGGCTGATCAGTCACAGCAAATAGAGTTTTTCTGAGCGCTGTGTTTTAATAAGCCGTTTTGTTTTGCAGCGTGCTACAACTGTGGCAGGGGCGGCCACATCTCCAGGGACTGCAAGGAGCCCAAGAAGGAGCGCGAGCAGGTCTGCTACAACTGCGGCAAAGCCGGCCACATGGCCCGCGACTGCGACCACGCCAACGAGCAGAAGTGCTACTCCTGCGGCGGCTTCGGACACATCCAGAAGGGCTGTGAGAAAGTCAAGTGCTACAGGTGAGGCCCGATCCTCAATGCTTCGGAGGCGAATGAGCCATGCCTGACCTGTGCTTCTGCTCCTCTCAGGTGCGGAGAGATCGGCCACGTCGCCGTACAGTGCAGCAAGGCCAGTGAAGTCAACTGCTACAACTGCGGAAAATCTGGCCACGTGGCGAAAGAATGCACCATCGAGGCCACCGCTTAGTCCCGTCTCCTCGTTCGCCCCTCCTTTTTCTGATTGATGGTTGTATTATTTTCTCTGAATCCTCTTCACTGGCCAACGGTTGGCAGATAGAGGCTATTCCCAGGCCAGTGAGCTCTTGACATGTAAAAGGAGGAAAGGGGTGGAAAAAAACTTTCCACTTTCTGCATTTAATACAAAAAAATGTTTGTTTAGTTTGGTAGAGGTGTTATGTATAATGCTTTGTTAAAGAACCCCCTTTCCGTGCCATGGTAAAAAAGAACCATACAGAGATCAGGGAAGCGCTCGCTTCTGAATGATTTGCATTTTTTGTTTTAGCAATGAGACTGAGGTAGCCTACGAGTGATTGACCTGGAAAAGCAGCACAGGACACATACGGTCAGGTCTATCCAGGCCAAACCAGCAGTACGCAGCTATGTGGAGAAAACACCAACAACAACAAAATACAAAACGTGTAACATAGCATATTCTGGAAACCTTGTGTAATAATAGATTCAGAAAATGACATCCTTTGTAAAACGGGCTGTTTGATCATTCGAGACAGCCGCGACGTCGAAAACCTAGTTCAGGATCCCAAGCGATACGGAGGGATGGCGTTTAGGTCGCTCTACCCAAGGTGGAAACTTCAATAAAATAACAATAAAAGAAGAAAGAAAAAAAAAAAAGGTCATAAAACAGATTTGGAGTTGGAAGAAAGGTGAATGTTTTCACAGAAATCAAAATGTTATTTTTGTACAATATCACGCAAGACTACTCTAAAAATAATAATAAAAAAACTATCATTTGCTTGTACTCTGTTTTTAAGTCGGAAGGTAAATGCAATTGAAGTTCTAGGACATAGAAATGTAATTTTAAACTATCAATAAATCTGGAGGAGGAAGGGGTGTGAAGCCTGGCGTTTCTTTCCTGAGTGGTCTCATTTTACGGTTTCATTCCAGGAATACACACATTTTTCATGATTGTTTTGGTTTATAGATTGTATTTTGGCCATATATATATATATTTTTTGTGTGTGTGTGAGTGCTGAGCCTTGCAATTTGAATGCTAATTCATATACTGTGTATGTAAGATCTCCTAGCATGATTTTTTTTTTTGTAAAGATATTTTGTAAAATGACTTAAAAAAAAAAAAGTATAAATAATACAATTTGGATTTTTTTTTTTTACAAAATAATTTTTTTAATTTAAAGTAGTAATAAAAAAAAAAACAATCTCTTCTTCCGTGTGCAGCCTTAAATGACCTTGTAACATTTTTTTTTATTGTTGACATCTGTATAAACGCAGCTCTGTTTTTCTGTTGACGCATTAAGCGGCATACAAGCCCAAAGAGCCTCTGAAAACCGAGCCCTGATGGACGCGTGAATGCCCCATTTAGTTTACTATGTTTATTATAATAACTCGATGCAACAGCTGGTCTGCGAGGTATCTGATGAACCGTAACTTAAGGAATGAATTTCATCAGTAAATTATTCAACAGCACATTTTACTTAAAGCTACGTATCGTTGTTCGTACAAACACTAATGGATGGTATTACAAAAAGCAATATAATGAAACCGAAGCAGGGCTGAATTTAGCTACTGATGTCATGTGACTAATAAGAGTATATAGAAACGTTATTTTTAGGTCTCTTGAAGCCAAATGAGATAGCAAAGTGATGTCAGGGGGGTGTGAAGTGCTCCGGGGTTACCACGGATCAATAAGAGCACAGCTACGCATAGCTTCAATGTAACTGGAGACCTGTAGCTCAGTTTTTCAGCATGATTCAGTCCTTTTCTGTCTGGCTCTCAGTGAAGGATTCATGTCGCATGCCATCACATGCATCCAAGCAAGCTCCTGTCAGCAGATGTGTCTTATATGATCTTATGGTAAAGTCTGGTGACGAGTGTTTTCACCTCGTTTAAAATAATGAAAATGCCAGATAGAGGGGGACTACTATATTCTCCATGCATTCACTGCAGCTGAAGACTGAACTTAAAGGAAGAACCAAACATAACCAAGTTGAGACCTCAGTCACAGTGGCGTTTACCGCTTCAAGCATGACTTCTACAAGAGAAATGGTGAATTGGAGAATGTATTTAGTGTAAAAGAGTGGCAACCCAGTTGAGATTGGTGACTAAAAACATGGAAAGTTCAGGTGGTGCTCTTCAACAAACCCTCAAGGCACAATGCTCCGGTTACTAATGTAACCTTGGTTTCCTGAGACGAGGGAGCGAGCGTTGACACACTTATGGGGAAACTCCTGTTTACTCTGATACTGAAGCCTGATTGGTTCATGCTCGTGTGGCTGCACGAACCAATGGCACTTCAACCCGCCAAAAGGGGAGGAGCAGACCTCTATATAAGTCGGCTCTTAGCGCCATTTCATCAGAAACTTTGGACAGAAGCCACAGTCATCGACTCGCGTGCAGTCTTATAGCACGGCAGCCTACGCGACGCTCGTTCCCTTATATCAGGGAACCGAGGTCATGTTAGTAACCGTAGCATTCCCTATCCACCGTTCTCTCCCGTTGCGTTTAACACGCTTATAGGGAATGCGTCCAATAGCGCCTGCTATGAGCAAGTGCAGAACGAAGCTGCTCTGCAAGCCCAGCCCTGGAGCACTCATGCTAAGGGCTCCTGTAAGCTTGAGCCAATAATGAGAGACTGTTCGACACTGTTTCAGTGTTTGATGACGCCACGAGTTATTACAGACACTAGGAAGTTAGAGCATGAAGTCCCAGTTCAACTTTGCCTCAAGAAGCTCTAAAATTCCTGTTTAAATAGCCAAAATGAGGCCAGCTGCCCTGCCAACAGAAACAGGATAGAGAGGAAAATTACATGATGCCGGTTCATACTTGCAAGCTATGCTGAAATAGATGTATTTATGTTTTTTCCCCACTCATCTCTGGATGCAGTGTGCTTTATTTACTTGTAAGATGCACATGTAGCAAAGCTGGTTCTCATTGTACAACTGAAGGGGACATTCTGACTTCAATCTTATATAATAGATCATGCTAGTTCACTGAAAAAATCTGACCTACAGAAAATAGTTAATATTAGATAAAGGCTTTGAGTTTACTTTTATTGTAAATCGTAATATTAATGAGTTAAAGAAGGCCTACTGATCTTAATTAAAGAGAAAACTCAAACGAAGTTCAACCTCTTGAAATGTCTCCAGTCTTATTGCGGTGCAGTTTTATCTCTCACCAGTAGATGGTACATAAGACGCCTTTTGAAAAACATTTTTTTTTGCGTTTACGCATGACCTCGTGATCATTTCAAGAGGTCTTTCAAAGTAGTACTAGTTACTAGTTAGCACCATGAATATACCAAATAAATAAATATATAAATAAACCCACCTGCGATTTTTTGTGTGGTCTGTCATCGCTTGGCGCGCCGGAAGTTGTCTATACGTCATATTCATGCGCCGTGCGCGCTCAGCGTTGAGCTCACGCAGGTCCAGGTTGAACGTCTGAACTACAAACATGGTAAAATAAAGATCCTTCTTTAGCTAATGGCTTTTAGATGATCATGCTTGTATGAGTGTACATTTATAAAAGTAATCACATCGCTTGTTCTCTGAAAACGACTGTATCTTCTGTAATACGAAGCGAAACTCGAGAGCGGAGTCATTTTTCACCGCTGACAGAAGTTTGTCAAGTAACCAGATTTAATAATAAACGTAACGTTACATTACGCAGTTCCTCTGATCAGATGCTTATAAGGTTTCTCAAGTATGAGAGTTGCATTTTCATACGGGTATATATGTTATATCGTAACGCTACATGTGAGCACCTGCTTAAATGAACGATTGCTGTTTTTATTTCTAGGCTCGAAACGCAGAAAAGGCCATGTGAGTGTTTTCCTCTTATATTTCTGTCAGAACTTTCTCTTGTGTCCTCTGCAGAACTTCCTATCAATGCTTTTTCCTTTATTCTGCAGGACGGCCTTGGCCAGGTTTCGTCAAGCCCAGCTTGAAGAGGGAAGGATTAAAGTGAGTGCACTTTGTCATCTAAACACTGATGTGCTGAGAGCATCTCTATGGCTTGTGCTTGTGTTCACCTGATCATATGACACATTCACAGGAAAGAAGACCTTTTCTTGCTTCAGAGTGTAATGAGTTACCTAAAGCAGAGAAGTGGAGGAGACAGGTCAGAAGATTCTGGTTAAATGCTATAATGCTACATATGCATATTAACTCGGTTAACCTCCATTTTTCTTGCACTTCTAGATTATCAGTGAGATTTCAAAGAAAGTCGCCCAGATTCAAAACGGTGAGAATATGTACAAGGAAAAAAAGCAAACATGAAATGTACATGTGGCGTTTACTAACTAAACTCCTGCCTGTCTTCCTCAGCTGGTTTGGGGGAATTTAAGATTCGTGATTTGAATGATGAAATCAACAAGCTGCTCAGAGAGAAAGGACACTGGGAAGTCCGAATCAAGGAACTGGGAGGCCCTGACTACAGGGTAAGAATATGAGTGCCGAGTTAAATGATTTTTATTGCATTTTTTGTCCATTTCATCTCAAATCATATTACATTTAATGCATATGGTTGCTGTATTAAATCAAATCAATTACAAATGTATATTTCTAACTTTGATCAGAATGTGCTTTGTTTGCCAAGTGCGTGCAAACACACAAGGAATTTGTTGTTTTGTTTTCATAGCATCTACAGTGAGCTCCTGAGATAACCAGTGAAAATAGTTCAGTTTTGCATGTTTCCAGTTTAATAAAAGATTCGATCGGCATAATAAACTGATCTCAAAAATGAACACAAGAATGTTTCAGTGTTTGGTTTGTCTTTTGCGTTAATGGAGCTGACATAAAACCTGAGATCACCCGAGCAATGTCACACATTTGCATTTAGTGGCTTTAAAATATTGAAATGTATCTGAAATACCTCGTCCCTATTTTATGTAATGATACTTTTTTGAATTCTTCAAAATCATATAATATTTGGTTTATTTCCCAGGTATGTAAATCCCAGGTTGTTCATGTGGTCTCAGAGGTTTAAACTGCGCTGTATTTGCTTTATGGCAGTGTTTCATATTTGTCAGCACGGCTTGAGCGTGTGTGTTTGCGTTTTAATAGAGAGTGGGGCCGAAGATGTTGGACCATGAGGGTAAAGAGGTGCCAGGAAACAGAGGATACAAGTATTTCGGTGCGGCTAAAGACTTACCAGGAGTCCGAGAGCTGTTCGAAAAAGAGCGTACGTTCAGTCACATAATAACTGATTGAGATCTGCTGTTTTCTATTAGTATTAGAACTCTGTGTGATGATATGTTGTAGCTGAGAGGTTAATGATATCTCTGGTTTAATAAAAACATTGTGACTTACTGTGAATTATTGCTGTCAGCATGTTTTGACGCCCAGTTCCTTTGACCAGAAATGTGCATTTTAGGCATCCTGTATAACATGATCATCTGAATATGTGAACATCTGCCTGACATTTATCTGTTTGATTTTCCATTGCAGCTGTAGCACCACCCAGAAAAACACGAGCGGAGCTGATGAAGGACATAGATGCTGACTATTATGGTTATAGGGACGAGGACGACGGCGCTTTAGTACCATTGGAACAGGAATATGAGAAACAAGGTGGGGCAAGTTCAGCTAAACGCTAGAAATACATAGTTTATCAGTGACTATGTTGACCAACACTGATGTTTTTTTTATACCTGATTAGGCTGATATTAGAAGCTGGTAATGTAAGGGCTTTTGTTTTCTAATTTTTATAGAAGTTGTTCAGCCAAAAATGGAAACTCGAATACATTTCTTTATTTAGCAGACAATTTTCTCCAAAGTAATTTAGCATACAAGCCAACAATACTTCAATACAGCAATGTCAAGTTTTAAGAATAAGGTAGATTAGTCATTTAATTCAATTTAAATGTGTATAGCGCTTTTCACAATACACATCGTTTAAAAGCAGCTTTACAGAAAATGCATGTGTCTGCATTACAAAGCAGAAGTGAATGTGTCCAAATAATGTTCATTTCACAAATGAACAGTTCAAGATAATAGAATCATACAGCTAGCTAACATTAATTAATTTCAGGCAGAAGTTCATTAAAGCGATTATTACAAGTGTGATCATAATGATTACAATATAGCGAAATTTTGGCAGCTGTGCATGTCGATTCAAGTTAGGGTCATCTGGGGTCCTCGCAGGGGTCAGCATCATCTCTTCACAGGTGTGGGGTCATCTGAACTCTTTCTATGGATCCACGCTGGAGCTGGTGTAATCTCTAGATACCTCGAGATGTGCAGCACAGTGTAGGAACAGAAAGGCAGATAGAAAAGAATTAGCGTAGCTGCTGTTCATAACATTTCAAGCAAAAAATATGTTTGACTTTTATCTGATCTAACTGAGAACAAGGGTGAGATTGAGATTCCTTATGCGAATGCTTGTCTGAAGAGATGTGTCTTTTAATCTAGATTTACACAGAGAGAGTGTGTTTGAGTCCCGGACATTATCAGGAAGACTATTCCAGAGTTTAGGAGCCAGATGGGAAAATTATCTCCTTCCTTTAGTGGACTTAGATATCCTAGGTACTACTAAAAGTCCAGAGTTTGGTGACCTTAAAGGGTCAAGAAACCCCCCGTTTCAGCACTGGTTAGTTCTCACTACAGTTTTAAAAAATGCAAAAAAAGTGGGCGTGGTGCGGAGGGGGAAGAGGGGAGACAGACCACACACACAGCTAACGAACTCTTATTACAAAGCAAAAACAAATACTCTACTTCAATCCATGAACGTTTCTCTCAGTTATTGTGTGCGATGTCATCTCACAGTCTGAAACGTCTGTCATAGCAAATCAACACATGCTGTTGTGAATAATTAAGCGATAATTCTTCTCATAGAATAAGACCACGCAGTCTCATGAATAATTTAACAGACACCGACACGTCATCGATATACTCTAGTCCATTGCACGTCACAAATTGTGACGTCAACACGATGTAGATTGTAAACCCGGAAGATGAAAATAGAACAAAAAAGCTTAAAATTAACCAGTTTTCTCCAACAATTAAAATTAACGGATGCTAACGTTGTCTTCTATGATGTGCAACACAAACACCTCTGCTAAAATCTCAGAAAAAGTAGTCTGGGGTTTCATGACCCTTTAAAGAGCGTGATGGATTATAGGGCATAAGAAGATCAGTTAAAGGGGTCATATGATGCGATTTCAATTTTTCCTTTCTCTTTGGAGTGTTACAAGCTCTTGGTGCATAAAGAAGATCTGCAAAGTTGCAAAGACTAAAGTCTCAAATCCAAAGAGATATGATCACCGGATCGGCTTTCACCGTGGACGAAGCGTGGAGTCCAGCCCGGGGTCGTCACATGTGGTTGCTACAGGCATCACAGTATGGTGAGGGGCGTAACATTTCCGTCACACGCTTGAGGAATTCGGCCAATCACAACGCACTGGATAGCTGGCCAATCACAGCACACCTCACTTTTTCAGACCGATGAGCTTTGTAAAAATCGACGCGTTTCAGAAAGGCGGGGCATAGAGGAGAAACAATAATGTACAGTATGTGGAAAATAATGTGTTTTTTGAACCTTAAACCGCATAAACACATTTCATTACACCAAATACACAAAATAATGTTCTTTTTAGCAACATCATATGACCCCTTTAAATATACAGGAGCTAAACCATTTAGTGCCTTATAGGTAAGTAGCAATACTTTGAAATCAATACAGAACTTAATAGGTAACCACTGTAGAGATGATCAAATTGGGGTAATATGATCATATTTTTTTGACCTGGTAAGAACTCCTGGTAATAGCAGTTGCTTTTTGGACTAACTGCAGCTTGTTTATTGATGATGCAGGGCAACCAGCTAGTAGTGCATTACAGTAATCTAGTCGAGAAGGCATGAATGCATGAACTAGCTTTTCTGCGTCAGAAACAGATAACACGTTCCATAGCTTAGCAATGTTTCTGAGATGGAAGAAGGCTGTTTTTGTAACATGAAATATGATTTTCGAAAGATAAGTTGCTGTCTAATATAACACCCAAGTCTTTAACTGCAGATGATGACATACAGTAACAGTACACCCTTCTAGTTGCAAATTGTATTCTAAGAGATTCTGTGTGCAGGATTTTGGTCCAATAAGTAATACCTCAGTCTTGTCTGAATTTAATAGAAGAAAATTACTGGTCATCCGTTGTTTTATATCTTTAACACAATTTGCCAACTTGGATAGTTTAGAAATTTCATCTGGTCGTGATGAAATATATCTCTGAGTATCATCGGCATAGCAGTGGAAACTAATTCCATGTTTTCTAATAATGTTGCCAAGTGGCAGCATGTATATTGAAAATAACAGAGGGCCTAGCACAGATCCTTGCGGCACCCCATAATTTACTGATGTTAACGCGGATTTTTCACCATTTAAGTAGACAAAATGGTAACGTTGTTCTAAGTACGATCTAAACCACTGTAATGCCTGTCCCTGAATACCAGTGTAATTTTCAGTGGAAACTAATTCCATGTTTTCTAATAATGTTGCCAAGAGGCAGCATGTATATTGAAAATAACAGAGGGCCTAACACGGATCCTTGCGGCACCCCATAATTTACTGAAGTGAACTTAGATTTTTCACCATTTAAGTAGACAAAATTGTAACGTCCTGCTAAGTACGATCTAAACCACTGTAATGCCTGTCCCTGAATACCAGTGTAATTTTGTAGTCAGCCTAAGAGTATCATGGTCTATACTCTATAGTGTCAAGCGCAGCACTAAGATCAAGTAAAACTAGTATTTAGACACATCCTTGGTCAGAAGCCAGAAGTAAGTCATTTGTTATTTTAACGAGCACAGTTTCTGTGCTATGATGAGGCCTGAATCCAGACTGAAATTCTTCATAGAGATCATTTTTTTTGCAGGAAGGAGCACAATTGAGCAGACACAACTTTTTCTAATATTTTAGACATAAACTGAAGATTTGAAATGGGTCTGTAATTTGCTTTAAGTTGTGGTTTCTTAATGAGAGGCTTAATAACTGCCATCTTAAATGGTTTTGGAACATGAGATAGAGATTGTCAAGTTTATTGTAAATAATTGCACATCTGTTGAACTGCTGTGTTGAAGGCAAGAGTAAATCAACTGCATCACTCACTTTACTTTAATTAGTGCTGATGACCATTAGCAAGAGCAAAACCAGCCTCGTGCCTTTAGATGAACTGAACAACCACAAGGTCCCGCTCCCTCTGAAACAAGATTTAGGGTGTCGTAGACCCTCGCACACTGGCATCATCCGGATGAAGCACTGCATTGTGTGAATGTACGCTGTGGTACTGTTGTGGCATTGTGTGCTGATGGCATTTCCTGACATGTGTTTCCCATTTGTGTCTGTTAAAGCGCATGCTAGACGTGCAGCAGAAGGTTTGGTGCGACTCATAAGAAGCATCACTCTGCAGCTGACTGTCCAGTGACCTGAAGCGCACGCTCGCGTCACATGACTGCTGCGTTCCACATCACATTCATTCACTTAAACCCTCTGCAGTTGCAGTTTAAAATACATGCACCGTTCGGACAAATCATATTCTATGTTCTAGAATTTAGTGTGTATGTATGTGTATATACAGTGGTGTGAAAAAGTGTTGGCCCCCTTCCTGTTTTTTAAATTTTTTGCATATTTGTCACACTTGAAAGATTCGACTTTGCTTCTACCGCTTCCTCTGAGTTACATGTAATGCATAAGTATTAATCCTGATTTGTGTTTTCTGTTTCGGCAGTCATAGCAGAGGCTGTTGAGAAATGGAAAGCAGACAAAGAGGCTCGCTCAGCTGTTGGTGGAGGCGAGAAAGACACGGAAGAGGAGGAGGAATATATTTACGCTGTCAGAGATGAAGAGGTAAACCTCTCCGTCCGTGCTGCTCTGTTTAATTCAATTTCTGCCACTACATTTATTACATTTGTCTCATTTTGTAATATATTTTGAGCAGTCTGATGATGAGATGGGAGAACAGATGGAGGGAGAAGATGGTTCACAGTCGTTCATCGCTCATGTTCCTGTTCCCTCTCAGAAGGAGGTTTGTTTCAGTTTAAACTGAGTTCAGTTCAGTCCATTTAAACCACAAAAAAAAACAAGTTTCATTTTGATTAAGGCAGCCTAAAGAGAAGGAATCATCATCCAGAAATGAAAGTACCGTCATGTACTCGCCCTCATGTCCTTCCAAACCCACATGACTTCCATGAAATACAAAAGGAGAATATTTGAAGAATCTGTGAAGCTCAGAAAAGTGAGAAAAGCACCATAAAAGTAGTCCAAATGATTTATGCACCATATTCCGAGTCACTTTTTTTATAAAAAATAACTTTATTCTCTGAAAACTTACCTTAAGTAAACTTTTCACTACAGCTTTCAGATCTGTGAACTGTGGTGATTGTGAACTAAAACAGAAAAAACAAAGCTGTCGCAACAACAATCTCCATTGAGAATTTTGCGTTGAAATGACAATTTTAGTTTTTGGGTGAACTGTTTCTTTAGTTAATCATGAAATTTTAAATGTGTAAAGTAAAAATCTGTTGAAATGATGTTCTTGTGGATCACAGATTGAGGAAGCCCTGGTGAGACGGAAGAAAATGGAGCTGCTGCAGAAATACGCCAGTGAGAGCTTGATGGCACAGAGTGAAGAGGCCAAAGCATTACTTGGTTTATAGTGGGATCAGTGTGTTGGGTTGGAATGGGTTCATATTCCTTTGTGGCGTGTACAGTCTTACACAGCCATGACTCTTAATGTGAACGAACGTTGAGGCCAGAGCGGAGCACAAGATGTATAAGAAACAGAATTGATGTGGTTGAAGATGCTTCTGAACATCAAAGTGTGCAAGCCAGGCACAAAAAAGCTTATTTGAAGAATCTGTGAAGCTCAGAAAAGCGAGAAAAGCACCATAAAAGTAGTCCAAATGATTTATGCACCATATTCCGAGTCACTTTTTTATAAAAAATAACTTTATTCTCTGAAAACTTACCTTAAGTAAACTTTTCACTACAGCTTTCAGATCTGTGAACTGTGGTGATTGTGAACTAAAACAGAAAAAACAAAGCTGTCGCAACAACAATCTCCATTGAGAATTTTGCGTTGAAATGACAATTTTAGTTTTTGGGTGAACTGTTTCTTTAGTTAATCATGAAATTTTAAATGTGTAAAGTAAAAATCTGTTGAAATGATGTTCTTGTGGATCACAGATTGAGGAAGCCCTGGTGAGACGGAAGAAAATGGAGCTGCTGCAGAAATACGCCAGTGAGAGCTTGATGGCACAGAGTGAAGAGGCCAAAGCATTACTTGGTTTATAGTGGGATCAGTGTGTTGGGTTGGAATGGGTTCATATTCCTTTGTGGCGTGTACAGTCTTACACAGCCATGACTCTTAATGTGAACGAACGTTGAGGCCAGAGCGGAGCACAAGATGTATAAGAAACAGAATTGATGTGGTTGAAGATGCTTCTGAACATCAAAGTGTGCAAGCCAGGCACAAAAAAGCTGAAATTATTTGTCTAGATTAACTTGACTTGATCAGTATGACGCCGATTAACTGTAGTTAACATTTAGTCGTTAAGCTGTGTTACATCTGTGCTATTTGGACCATACCTTTGGCGTTGTTGTTATGCTGATCTTGTCAAATTGTGTGTTACATTTAGGTATGAACAGTTTTTTTGCAAATTGGTTTTTGAAAATGGAAAAACAACTTAATTTGTTCAACCAGTGGAAGGACAGAAATCTCTGTAAAGATTTCCCTTCTTGGACGAGTAAACTGCTTTTTTACAAAACTCTGTATACTGTTAATGTGCTTCCTTTGTGAATGCATTTGAAAAGTACTAACACACCGAAAATATTCACACGTTACATTAAGGAACAAACCATTCTCTGATGAGAGACCGTCTGGTTCATGTGACCAGCCAAACCGAAGTTACTCAAATAAACCACAGTCACATTTACACAATCAGCTAAATCTAATATTCTTGTTCAGCCAAAGTGACCTTTTTCTGCAGTGTAAACGATGTAATACAGGCTTTGTGTCTTTTTTTTATTTTATTATATATAATCAAAACATATTCAACAACATTATATTAAAATTAGTGCTGGGGCAACGATTAATCGCATCCAAAATAAAAGTTTTTGTTTACGTAGTATATGTGTGTGTACTGTGTATATTTATTATGTATATATAAATACACACACATACACTATATATTTTGAAAATATTTAAATGTATTTATATTCATATAATTTATATTATATATAAATTAATATATAAACAATATTTTTCTTAAATATATACATATGTATTTATATATACATAATAAATATACACAGTACACACACATATACTACGTAAACAAAAACTTTTATTTTGGATGCGATTAATCGTTGCCCCAGCACTAATTAAAATTTACTAATTTTTTTTTATAAAAAATTTAAATATCCATTTAAAATAAAAAATTGTGATCAAATTCACTTTTTTTATTTAAGTGCAAAAAAAAAAAAAAGATTTTAAACAAAAGTATAAATTAGAAATTAAGATATGCTTCAATGGCATATGATTGTGATATGGCATAGCAGACAAAATCAAAAGTCATCATGGCCCAGTCATTAACTTTGGCTCGTGGGCCCTGGTTTGGGCATCTCTGATCTTTTATATTTTATTTTATTGATTGATTGATGCACTCAGTAAGCTTGGCTCTTATCGGTCCATCAATGTTATCTGTGGTTAAGGACTTCATATTTCTCTTCATCTTTAGGCTATATAAAGTTATAATAACTCCGTAGTAGTAGTAGTCTCTAATAGGTGCTGATCCTTTCTGTGTGTAAAACAATTAGCAAATAAATAAATATAAATACAGAACGCACATTTAAAGTAACAGCGAGAAAACATTTCTTCACGTTATGATTCGTCATTTCTTTTTTATCACATTATTTAGTAATCACGTTTCCCAGCGGCCCGCTCGTGCGGGTGACGTCACTAGTAGCCTACTTCCACATGTGCCGCAGTAGTAGGCTTTGTTTCGATTCGCGCACACCCTCCCTCTTTTCTTCATAACAACATTTAGCTTTGTGGGACCGTTTATTGCTCTTCATCATGTGCATTTTAATGTAGGACGGCTAGCGTCTGGAAGTGAATACTAGTGTTGTCTGCTATCTAGTGGAGGTGGCGGGTCAGTCTGGAGGGGGGTGTCTCATTTCTCCATCTGCCGGCGAGGAGGGCTGTTGGTTTCCTGACTGGATTCGGACCACCTCTCTGTCGTCACATCACACCGCTACAAAAGCTTCATGGAGACATTGGGAGCAGTCGAATCCGGCCAGAAACGCGTCGCATCGAAATGAAGCTCTTGATCAACGCGCTGCTGAGGTCGGCGAGCGGCGTGGGTTCGCAGCGGCAGCGCGTTGCGGCGCTGGGGCGATGCGGACTGTGCAGTAAGGTAGAGGACGTGTTTACATTCCTACATCAGCATCATGTGATGTTTGCTCAAGCGCTGGACCCATTGTTAGTGTGCGTTTAACTGTCAGAAATGCAGTTTATTCCTTGTCTGTAGTCTTTTTCATTTCCCAATTGTTATTCCACACAGGATCTCGCTTGAGAATGAACTCTTTTTCTTTCATTTCCCGCACTAAGTTCTCGTGTAGGTTGATGAATGTGAATATTTGCTAGCGGAGCTTGATTTCTTGAGTCCTGCAGAAAGCGTTTCGTGTCGGCTGTAGTTCCTCTAATGTGCAGCTCTCGGCTTTATGGCACACAGTGTACAGCTGTGGAGTTATTGATCCGTGTGTCATGCTGTCTGCAGGGCTTTAGACTCACAATCAGTATCCTGACATCTGCGAATATCACCAGTTACCGCGTGTTAAATGCGTAAAATGATATTTTGATCCTGACCCTTGTTTATGTCATTACACTGTAACTGCAAGGTTAGTACACTTCATTTTGTAGCTCTGAGCAAAAGCAGTATCATATATGTATACTTGCATAGATATATTAATCTGTCAATATAGTTTTTTGTCATAATACCGATTTATATTACAGATTGTATTCTGACTAGTTCACATGTCTGATAGCTAAAATACAAAACATAATATTCATTTTTGATATTTTATTAATATGCAAGCAGTAATGATGGGCCCAAGCCATTGGCGCAACCGCTACCCCGTGGCACAGCAGGCACATGCATTTACTGAAACCCGCTGGCAGTCTGGTTTTAAGGGTTACGGCTATGAAAGTGATACACACACACACACTCACACACACACAGAGAGAACAATATATAAAACTTGCTGTAAAAAATATATTGTTCATTGTTAGTTCATGTTAGGTAATGCATTAACTAATGTTAACAAATTAGACCTTATTGTTTTCAAAACTTTTAATGATCTGTAATTATTTATGAAATAATTATATAAAACTATATTACCAATATAGTACATATTAACTTATTTTATGTATTTGTCATTTAATTGAACTGAGCAGTAAGCGATGCTTAAATGCTTCAAATATTTCTTATCTGAGTGAGAGAGTGTAGGGTATATAAAACTTTTAATGATCTATAAGATAAAAAAAAAAAAAAAGATTTTAATGCTCCATTCAAGAAATCCAAAATTTGTTTGCAATTTAGTAACTTCAGAATCTTGGCATCATGTTGACAAAGTTTGGTGTGAATTGCTTGATTCTCTTAGGAGGAGTATGCATTAATTCACAGCCTGATTTTTCCAAAAATCCACATTCAGACCAAAATAGCCGACTTCCTGTTGGTCGTAGCTAATGACTGTAAATTAGAAAGTTGTCTGGCTTGATGAGAACAATATATGTCCCGAGTTTGGTGTCTGTAGGAAAAACTACCCCCACACACACACTTTTGTCAAAAAGTGGCGCTATAGAGCGCCTGCTCCACACCCATTTGTGAGCTTTTGCCAGTGTCTATCTATCATTAATACTGATGTGTGTCGAGTTTCATGACATTCTAAGCATGTTAAGTGCCTTAAAAACACCTGAAAACAATATTAAAGTTTGACACGTTGCCATGGCAACAGTATTTAAGATATCAAGAAACCCTTTGCAGTTTTACATCTGCTGTGTTTTGACATTATTCTGATGAAGTTTAAGAAAACAGAGTAAAAATAAGAGGCTAATTTCAAAGCATTTTGAAAATGACACACTTCCTGCTGCCAGTTGGTGGCGCTATAATTTGACTCCTAATAGTCACAGTAGTCATCTATGTAATCGGCCTCATACAACAAACAAACTGCTTAAGTTTGATCAAAATCAGACAAAGTGTGCAAAAGTTATTAGACACTTCCTGTTTCTCATTTCTCTCCATAATTTCGTCTCATTGCCAAACTGTTTGAGATATCAAAAATCCCTTTGCAATTTAGCATCCTCAAAGGGTGTGCAAAGTTTCAAGAGTTTCTGAGCATGTTTGGGCCCTCAAAAATGAGATTCATTTTGGAGAAGAAGAAGAAGAAACGGAGCAGCATTGGTGCTTGGGCCCTAATAATCCTAAAGAAAATAATAGGGCCCTTCTCCCCCTAGGGACTTGTTAGTTTGCCTGTGAATACCATTGTTGGGTTCTTTTTTTAGAGACCCATCAACATTTAACATTTTACTAATCACTGATTAAGTTGAAAAGTGTCAAAACAATTATTGGCGTATCTTTGCTCTGTACAGTGAAATCATTTAGATTTGTGACTGACTGATACAGATTTTTTAATCCATGAGCTCGGTGTGCTATATTCAATATTATGTAGACTATATGATACAATCTAATAATAGTAAATGTACTCAAAATGACTGAAATTGAGCAAATATATATTTTACACAGTGTTCAATCATAATTGACTCGGGGTTATTATAGTTAACTAAAATAGAAAAAGAAAAACATTTTCGTGAATTGGAATAAAATGAACATTAACTAAAATAAAATATAAAACCTTTTTATTTCAGCTAGATGCCAAGGCAACATTTCTTATTTTAATTTAATTTGTTGTTGTACTAAAATAACTAAAGTTGAAATATAATGACTGAAAATTATATATACAGTTGTGGTCGAAATTGTACACACACTTTGCGGTATCTGCAAAATGATGATTATTTAACCAAAATACACGAGGGATCATACAAAATGCGTTATTTTTTTATTTAGTACTAGTTTTTGATTTAGTATTAAAAGTATTATTTACTCTTGTGGACTATATGTAGGCTAAACGTCTTTTATGTGAAATATCTTATTCAGGTCAGTACTAAATATGCATTTTGTATGATCCCTCTAATCTTGGTAAAATAATTAGGCTAACATTTTGCAGATTCTGCAAAGTGTATGACAAAATTTTGACTTCCAAGAGACTACCTACCATATATGTTGAATGTAAAAAGAATGATTCAAAGTATTCATAAAAAATAAATAGTATCTGAAATAGCACTGTTTTTGCAGTCAATATCAATATTCACAATGCATAATACTTTTTCTGTAACTTTTAAAATTGCTCGAGGCATACATTAGATGCAAATGCGTTTGTTTCCCATATTGCTCAGTGAAGTTCAGTGCTGTGCAAAATCAGTATTACAAACTTTCAGACTAAAGCTGTGTGTCTGTTATCACCGTCTCAGCAGTTTGTTGTTGACCATGCATGACCAATTCATTGCACACACAGTGAAACCAAACCTCTTCCCCATACTGAAGATGTGCGTATCTTAAGAAAAATCTAGCTAATAAATATCATGCAGTTGCTATGCTCTGTTTCTTCTGTAGTCTTCTGTCATATGTAAGAGCTGCAGTGACATCAATGAGAAAAACACAAAAGCTCCCTAAGGGGAAGTGCAGCTGTTTCATTTGAGCAGATTGAAGCGAACTGGCCCTAATCCTCAAGTGATCGCAGACAGAAAACAAGGGACAAATGTCCAGCAGGGGTCAAGTGTGACGCAGCATCATCTTCTCTTGTGCGTAATCGTGTGCGATCTAATCTGTCTTGGGAAAAGAGGTTATGCATTGTGTAGGTGACTTAGTATTTTATTCTGTTAGATCATGTACATTTTATTATTTCATGTTGCAAAGCATCAATTTAAACATTCAGTATCGCTTTCTTTGTATTTAAAACAGTCGTAACAGTAAATAATGTGTAATTACAAGCACCTAACACTAAAACCCTAAACCTAAAGTAAATACATGTTGTTAATTAATTCTATTTATGTAATTACGTTATGTGTTAGAACATTATTAATATACTTCTTTGTGTAATTACACTGTATCAAGGACACCTTAAAATAAACGGACCAAACACTCTTTTTTTTTTATGGCGAAATTTCTCTGGCAAACTTGAGCCTGTTGCAAAATCTTTTGTTCTCACATGAAATTCCTGATCGTGTGGATTCCTGTTGAAATGAATGGATTTCACTAAATGTGATCGCACCTTTAGTCATAGTGTCACTTTATGGCTGAATCTCATGACAACTGACAAGAACATGTCTTGGACATATTTCATCCCAAAATAAAATACTTGATCAAATTCTTATTACAGTAATATATATATACTGTATATATATATAATATATCTATAATTTATAGTTCAGTGAGTGAAAAGCAACTCTTTAGTGAATGTGTCAAGTGAATCACTCAGTCACTCATGGTTTGCTTTATGTAACAAAAACATTCATTGTTATTGTAATAAGTAATAGAAATATTTTTCATCAATTTGAATTCAAAATGTAGATATTTGGGTTTATTGTTCACAATATATTTTTTTGTTGTGTTTTCAGTGCTTCCATGCAGGGTTATTATTATTAACAGAAACTAAAACTAAAACCATACAAACCCTAACACACACACACACACACACTTCTTTCATACAAAGATGGGTTCAAGTTTACTACAAGTGGTAACTAAATACATTTTTTAATACAGATAGTATGTTAAAAGCACATTTTAGTTCATATTCATGGTCTCAAAATAGCACAGTTGAGTACACTTAGATGTTCAAATCAGAAACCAAAGTTAAACAGAAAACAAAACGTATATGTGTATAAACTGTCACAAATAACGAAGCTAGCTAGCTTGTTAGCTTGAGAATACTTACCCTCAAATTTGTCGACATAACACGAAACATCCGATTTAAAGCCCTTCTCCTTACTAGAGGTGAGAGGTGCCGCTTCGATTGACATCGTTTACCGTAATCAGTGGAAGATCTTGCAAGCAGCGACTCTAAAGTCCATGCTAGCGCTGGTTGAAATGGAAGGCAAAAATGCCCACTGTACATGGTGTCTCAAAATAGCACAGTTGAGTACACTTGGATGTTCTTAAGATTATCTTAAGAAGTACTAAAGACTAATTATTAATATATTAAGTACAAAATTAGTGCGCGAAAATAGAGCACTTTAAGTACATTACGGAAGTGTACTTTTTTTTTCACCTGGGACATTATATTTTTAAATTGGGCTATAATGGTGCACAAATTTCACAGTTCAGTATGCACCTCAGTGTTCAGGTCACGGTTTGGTTTCGAAGCAGCAGGGTGAGCAAAGCATCTCTCTTAAGCTGCCTGTCTGCGAGACAGTGGAACGCAGACAAGCTTAGTATACTTTGAGTGATTTACAGTAATAACAATCATGTGCAAAAACTAGTCCTGTGTGCTTCATTTCCTTTAGGCATTGCAGAATTTAATTTCTCATCCTTATGTTGTAATCTCCTCAACAGTCCGAGCCGAGCTTTGGGTTGCTGTTTGACATCGATGGCGTCTTGGTGCGAGGAAAGACCCCCATCCCAGCAGCAAAGAGAGCTTTCCAGAAGCTGGTGGACGCAAAGGGACAGTTCGTGGTTCCGGTTGTCTTTGTCACCAATGCTGGCAACTGTTTACGACAGAAGAAGGCCGATCAGCTGTCTCACATACTGGGTGTTCCTGTGAGTTCTGCTCGCTCATATTCATGAGGACAATTCTGACATGCAGCCTGCTTGATGCATGCATTGCAGCTTTTTATATGCAATTAATTCAGCTTGATTCTCAGTTCACTGAAGGCACAGGGCTCGAATCATGACAAATCAATGTAACCTTGATATTTTGAGATACTTATGAAAATGTACTGTACAAAGATCACTTACCTTCCCACATTTACACTTCAGAAACATGGCCTGTTCGGTCATACAGAGATATTTGGGTTAGAGCTGAATATCATTGCTACACACCAGCAGAACGAAGCACGAAAGTTTGTCGAAACAACACATTTGTGTTTCATTTTTTTTTTATTACTGAAGAGTGTTGAACTTTCTGTTCCTGCGTCCTGTTCTTCATGCAATCCAGAATAGCAGCACAACTGAAAGATTTGAGCGGCGCCCTCTACTGTACAGACGTGAATTTACATTTCCTTCAGCCTGAGGCTTATTCACTTCAGTTCTGGTGTGAAAGGGCTTTTACATTTGCCAAAATTGTAGTATAATTGTATTTATATTAAATTGTAATTATATTAAAAACAAACAGATGCCCAGATGAGAAAAAGAAACTCAAATGTAACAAAATGCATTACTTTCCATAAAAAGTAACTACGTAACGCAATTAGTTACTTTTAGGGCTGGGTAAAAAATATAGATATCTCGATATTAATCGATTCTCATTTTTACGGAACGATATCGATTCTTAAATCCCAAGAATCGATTATTCTAGCCTGTTTTTATTTAATGGACGGAAAGTTGACGGGCACTTCCCATCCAATATATCGCAATAAGCATTGTGCTTTGGTACTTTTAATATGAAACAAAGCCTCAGATTTCAAATTCTGTCCATTGTATTGCAGTATTCAAACAATAAATGCCGTTTTGGCACCGTTTAATGTGGAGTGACAGATCGCTGTAGTGCCTCAGTTCAACAGACGTGGCAGCGCGAGGCACACGTGAACTGATCATCTCCTCCACATTAATACCAGTTTCAGCACAAAATAAACATGACTAAACATCCGAAGGTAAGTTAAAAGAAAGAGTACAACTTTACTATCCGTATCCTGTCTCAAATAATCGCTCAATCAGTGTTTCAGTCGCGCAAAGACGTCATAACAGCTTGTAAACAATGTCACGTAACGTCATTTACCTCAGAAAAAACATATTCGGTGACCATAAACTCATTAGTCAGCTAGAAAATGAAACTGTAGAGAGGGGCATTTCGCTAAATATATGCACCAACATATTCATTATAATTGTTTACTGTTCCTCAATGTTTCATTTATGTTTGAATAAATCCATCAAGTTTTTGACAGCCACCATTTAAATGTTTATATTTCAAAAA